GCAAAAGTGGTTGTTTCTACAAAACTGTTTGTATCCGCTAGAGATGGGTTAAATGATGTGAAGATTGTGATGAAACAAAAGATAAAAAGTGATGTACTTGGTCTAAAAAGGAAATAGACCTATAAGAAAGACTGTGATTAAAGCGCTAAAGAAAAAATAAAAAGGATGATTAGGGATGAAAGTACTATGTAAGATTCAGCACTGAATTCAAGAATATGATCATATACATCAAGATATTTGAATAATATCAGCTTTTATTAAAAACAAAACAAATAGATATACAGGACTATAAACATTTTTTTGTTTTAAAATGCCCTTAAACGTTTCTTGTAATTGTTTGCATGTAAAACACGTGCAACGGTTCTCGTAAAACTCTTGCAACAGCTCTCGTAAAACCCTTGGCAACGGAAATTTGATCTGTTCAGTTTTAAACGCGGGTAACGGATCTTTATATATCGAAATTTGTTTTTCGTGGAACACGTGCAACGGCTCTTTATGACAATATATATTTTTATTCAATTTCACCAATTTTAGGCAGTAGTACTATATATTTAATAACTTGAAACATGTATGTTTGTGATACATGCCGACGTGAATATTGTTCACAGAAAAGTTTGCAGAGACATATTAAAGAACGGCATGTGGATGAAAAGTGCTTCCCATGTTATGTTTCAACTTGCAAGACGAAATTTATCCGACAAAGTTATTTATGAACTCATCTTTTCAAAGTACATAATTTGGACAGAAATATTGCAAAATCACTCCTCGAAAGTAAAAAGTGTTCCTAGAGAGTATTTAATACAATGCATTCTGGTTTAGAAGACATTAGTGACACAGAAGATTTTTTCACAAACCTTGAAGGCCAACAAAGTTCTAAAGTAGCTGAAGAAGAATTGTTCAATGTGATTGAGGATATCTCAGCATCTAACTTACAGTTGGATAGAAACAACAATTTGTCGGATATGTATGTTTTAAGTGAAAGTGAAGTTGATGATGCTTCCACTCTACTAGATCTCTCGAGCAAGGTATGTTTTTTGTTGTTTCTTTTTTTTTCATTTGTAAAGTAACATGATATTGACTACATGATTGACTACATGATGAGTGCTTAAAGATTGTCAGCACATTCTAGAGTAAAATTCCTATGTATCACAAAATTATTCATGTATTGTTATCGATGTTTTATAAAATCAAATATTAGTTGTTATTAAAAATAATATTATCTTAATAACCTAATCACATCACAAGCAAATAATTCTGAAACAAAAATGACTTTTTGTATATTCATATTTTTAAATGTATTGTTAATTGAACTAAAGTATGCTGGGACTGAAATATGTGTATATATATAAATGTGCAAATCTTTTAGCAGTTTAAATGACTAACGGTGTGTTGTTATATCAGAAATGTATTTTTACAGATGTTTTCTGTTTAAACCATTCAATGAACAACTTAGACTTGCATTCCTTACATACTGAAATTTTAATTGATAAAATTTTATGTTGTATCTGCAATCAAATAGCTACAGAATCCATTTTATTTCATTTAAATCTATAGTAGCTAGCATTGTTGAAAAAATTGCACACAAATGGTAAAAAATTGCTACCTATCAGCCTGTGTCCAAAAGACAACGTCAGCGTTCTTGTAACATGATTGATTATTCCCCATTCGAAAATTTTTGTCAAATGGTAGTTTCCTTTCAGTATATTGTTAACGTTTCCTTATCCAGAAATGCTTACAACGATTCTTTTCTCTGATCTTTCTATTAAAAAAATGTAAAAACCCTGCTATTTTTGACTCGTTCCAAATCTTTCACCTACATCATATTAATATGATAATTAAGTTTTGATTCACCTTTCTAATCTGTATAATCTTTTTTTCGAAGCACACGTGAAAACAAAGTAGTAATCGAGTACACAAATTTCATTCATAGCGTGTGAAAGCGTAGTAAAAGCCCTGCAACTCCATTCATAACGCATGTGTTTATTTGAAAATTTTACAGGTGACTTATCTTCGGCCAAAACAATGTGTGTATATATAGCCTGTGCATTCTTAACTGTCATAATAGTAAATTTCTATTATATTACCTGCGTATCCCTCAGTGTCACATAAATTGGTCAATACATAATTCCTTATCGAAATTAATTTATAATTTATGTACCAATATAGTTAAATTAATTTTTGATTTCGTATAAATTAATATTGTCGTGAACATCTTGAATAATAGGAACAATGCATTTATGTTTTCCTATTACTGATATTGTATATATATTACATTCTTTATTATATATGTCCCTTATCCTCTTCTTTCTCTATCTTTGTCACTTTTATCTACGGAGTACTTCACCCTACAAAATCTATAGTCCTGGAGTAACATAATTATCATTGATAGTCAATAACACACAGAGTGAGGTTAGGATCTTTTACTGGTTCCATAACATTTCTTTTGGTGTTATTGTTTTCCTGTCTTTGAACTTTGGGCATATGTTCTTCTGCAAAGATCAGGTGAATATTCATACAAATCCGCGGACCTCGACTCAAATAGCTCTGAATTTTCTTATTCTTTATCTTCTAGTGTAAATGATATCTTTGAAAGCTTCAAAAATTCATTATCTTTTGTTCATTATAACCTACAGAGTTTTCCCCACAATAGAGACATTTTACAAAGTGAATTACAGCACTTTGACATCATTTCCTTTACAGAAACGTGGCTTAGCAACAATATAGAATCTGATTCAATCTCTTTTTGAAAAATTTTCTTCACCTTTCAAAAAGACAGGTTGTTTGATAATCACGGTGGAAAGCTGAAGTATGTCAAAAGAAATATTCAGCCATAACAAGGCAAGACCTTGAGATAAGTGGTGTTGAATGTGTTTGGGCAGAAACTAAGGATTCATCGTACAAAATTTCTCATTGGTACTAATTATCGACGCTCCAAATTCACCTTCACACGTGTTACTAAATATTGAACGTTCAATTGACATGCCTTTGATACTGGACATTAAAAACATAGTTGTTACAGGAGATCTTAATCTAGATATATCGAAACCAGCAACATCTAGAAAATTGTTAGATATAGCCACTTAGATAAAGCTTCATTGTTTACATTTAATCTTTAGAGTACTGGTGTCTCTTGTAACTGTAACAGGCTCCTCTCCCTACCTCTCACCCATTTCAAAAGAAGAGGTCATGATGCGTATGACATGCTAGTGAAAATATCTCTTAAGTTTTTAAGCAAAATTTTCTGTAGGATTTGTAATTCTCACATTCCTAATTCTTAAATAATTTTATATGTTATTATAACGTGTTGCCATTGTGCATTTCTTTCAATGTACAAAAAATGGGAAAATATATATCTTCCTTTCATATGAATTTGCTGTATGTCTTAATGCCGATTATTTTATATATTTACTTAGTAAATTCAACAAAAATATTTATCAGTCATATTTTTTTTGGTGGCTATATTAAAATCCAAACAAACAAAACACAAATCTTTAAATAGTCTTTTACAATAATGTATGATATAAAATTAGGCAGGTAATTTCTCATGATCCAAAATTAACATATTTTTCAGGCTGGTTATTTCTCACGAGCCTTGACCTGATTCGTTCCGTGCTAAGCATTTGGTGCTCTAACAGATGAATATCTGGTGACCTTGACGAGAGAGCTGACCCTGAGTTGTTACAGAGATGTGCAGACTTTTCCTCGAAAATGAACAGTTTTGATAAGGCTGTTGAATATCTTCTTAGCATCGGGTAAAAATGTTTGGCCCGGTCTTTATGTATTTACTCACTATAATTTATTATTCAATATGAGAAATTTGCCTTTTTTCGGCAACACAAACATTACAACCTTTATAAACTCTACTTACTATCTCCTTGCTTCTATCTTCTCCAAGTTTTATATGTATGTTTTTCTTACACCGAACAACATTTAGACTGTACGTAGAACAAAGCAAAGTAGTATACAACAATTATTCAACAATTGCACTAATAAAGTCTCTTTCTGTTAAAATATAATCAATTTTTTTCGAAAGTTTCAGCCTAAAGCATTGAGTATTTTTGGTGATTCTGAAAAGTTTCATTGATTCCATCATTTTTTAAAATCACTTGAAATGATATTTTCTCAAAGAAAATATAGCCTCCTTAGCATTGTGGTTGATCACTACAAGTTTAAGTCTGTGTTATCTCCTTGGAATGATTATAGATAGATAGCATTTGATGTTAGTAAGGTTCAGTGTAGCTAGATTTCATTGTGTGTTGAAAAATCTAGAAATGTCTAGTGGGTCAAAATATGTTTTACAGCATAAACTGTATAATAAAAAGGCATGTAAAGCAAGTTTATGTTTAAAGAACTGAAAATCATGTGTGTATATAATACAGGAAGTAATTTGTTTATAAAGTTGAGTTACTTCCCTTGGATAAGTTTCATAAGTTACATTGGTAAAAGTTCAAAAGTCAACATATAACATAGATGTTTTGGATGTAATTCAAAGAGAAGAAAAATAAATGTATAAAGAAAAATATGCTATTATAATATGTTTATCTATTTGTGACAATATTGGGAAGCACTTAAAATCTGCATGGACCAGCATGTGGAGGTTACAGATGATTTGGCAGAGAAGTTGACACCTACAAAGGAGGAGCTTGGTAGAGACACAATGGAGAGGGTGAAGATACTGGAGGCTATTGCAGAAGTTTGCATGCACCAGGGACAGTATCATCTAGCCACCAAGAAGTTCACACAATGCCAGAAGGTATGTCAGTAAAGAACATGCAGATAGGTTTTAGACAATTTCTGTTAATTTTTTTTTATGATTCAGAGGCATTAGGAGTCAAATATTTTCCGTCCAGTTATGTTAGCTTCTATTTCGACATATTGTGAATTCACTTAATTTCATAGGCATGAAATCTCATGGTTTTGTCACAAAAAACATTTTCGTGAGTTTCTTAAATTCATGACTGTTTATTTTTCTGAAAAGAAATGTTAATAATGTAATGCAAAATATTCTTTCAGCAGACAAACTGAAATTTTGTTGGATCTTAAAATTCTTAAATTGACCTATCCACAAAAACTACTAAAATTAGTTCTCCGCGATTAATAATGATTTTGCAGTAAACTATTTTATTCTATTGCTACTTAAAGTAAAATTATGTCCCTTGCATGTGCACATTGTCATTTTGTTTATGGCAGATATATTTCAACATTTGTGACACCAATATTTTATATAAATCAGGATATATGATGAAGATTCAGAGAAGGCTATCAAACAGTGTCAGGTACTTCTAGAGGAACCAGATCTTGACAGTGGAGTCAGAATAGGCGATGTTTATGGCTTTATTATTGAACATTATGCCAGGAAAGAGCGCTGGAAGGCTGTATGTATTTTACTGTACAAGTCAGCTTATTTGCAAATTATGATCTATGATGTATGTTTGAAGTATTTTGAATTATTAAAATATGATGAAATTGTTTCCTATCGAAACTAAATCAATTAGGTAGAGCATCGGATTGGTCATCTGGGAGTCAATGGTTAGATCCTCTGACAAGAGGCAATTACTCTATGACAAATGACCTTAGACATTGATTCCAATAGTCATTAGTTTCTTACCACTGATTGAGAAATCAAGTCATGATTAGAAGTCAGTCACTTACAGAGAAATTCTTGATTACTAGTTATCCAGAAAAGTCGGTAATTTTAAGCAACAACTGACATATGCTTTTAAGAATGTGTTGAAATCTGAGTAAAAAAACGACAGAAAAACAAAATAATAATTTATTTCTAACAAATGCAGATATACAACTTTTGCCAATTAAAAATTAACATTTATAAAGATTTTTTAAATTTCTGTTATAAACATGCCATGGTTTCTATATTTTTCTAGGCATATAATGCTATAGATGAGATGAAGGGTAGATGTTAGGTGTGAACATGTCTTACTATGTGAATATGCGAACAATACAAGCTGTTCATCAAGCGTTGGATATATCACTTAGTAACACAATAAATGCCGGCCAGGGTCGGCAGGTCACGAGGAGGAAGATGGTGACATCGTGGAAGAGGATGTTCCCATATATAATGATGATTTTTGATAATGGGATATTGCGTCTGTGATAAAACATTTCAATTTAAATATAAAATGTTTAAAAAAAAAATGAAATCATTCATCTTGTCATAAACTGTGAACAAGAATTTTGTTTAGAAAAAAACTTAATAAATTTTTGAGCTTCTTTTCGGCATGCTAAAATTTTAATGATGTTTTAAAAACAGTTTATGAGATGTAGGAGGAGTGTTTGTTTTTTATAATTGAAAAAAACAACAACATTTTTATAAATAAACTTTTTTTGAAGTTTGATCACAAAAAAACGTGGAACAAGGGGAGTATCTTACACTATAAGATGTCATTTAAGTTTTTATGCCAAGGTTTCATGGTAGGGAAACTTTAAATTAGATATAAGTAAGGCTTTTCAAAGGAGATAGCCATTGTAGAAAAATTAGGGGGAAAAACATATCATGGGTAATTTTGTATTAGTACAGTCCCTGAGGACCTTTTGTGTGCAAAAAAGGTCCATAGATAAATGTTATACCAATGTTAAGCTAATGTTTGAAGTTTACAAAAATTTTGGGTAGACATGTCAAATCATGGTACGTTTTGAGAAATCCAAGATGGCCGCCAAATTATTGGAAAATGGCTAATACGCAATTTATATGATAAAATTAGTTCTTTTTGTATTTATTTTGGTACAGGTGATGTTAAAACTTCACATCCTATTGGAACAATATGAAAATGGAGGCATTTCCATTATTTTTTTCATATTCTCTGAATTTCATAGATAAATTTGCTAAAAAATGCATGAAAAAATTATCAAAAATTGATATGGGGCTGACATTTTTTCCTACCAGCTAAGGCATAGCGGTGAAAATGAATATTTTTACCATATACTACAAAGACTTGAACAAGATCATACTAATATCACCCTTATTTTTTATCTTTATTGTAAAAGAATGTGGATTCTGATATTCTTAAAGTGGGTGGGGTAACGAAAACTAAGTCTCAGTATTTTGTTAACTGGTTTGTTATGATAATTAAAACTATGAATAGTCAACATGTATTGCACTTTGGCATGTACCTAAAGTTATAAATAATTAAGAAACATAGACTGATATTTTGTTTATCAATATTCAACATGTTCTGTTGCCATGGCAACGGAGAAGTAAAATGAAAGACACACATGAAACGTATGACACTTTCAACTTTTAGCATTTTAAGCATGTTGTTAAGAATGACACATACTTATAGATAAATAATCTGTGCACAATGCCATGGTAACAAATTGAAAAAAAAATGAAACATTAAAAGAAGTCACATTTAATTCTAGCAAATTATCAACACAGATAACAGCCGATATTTTGCAATTAGATGAATAAATTTATTTCAAGAATTTGCATCATGCATTTGCTTTTTTCAAACTGCTATACATAGAAAAAGGTCATGTCAAATGTGAATGTTGTTATGTTTGGAAAGGATAATTAATGGTGATAATAATAAGTAAAAGGCAGTCTTAAGGTAGAAATGTATATAAACATTATCAAATGTTTGAAACTGTACATATGGTAAACATTTAAGACTTTGCAGCTAAAACGAGAAATAAATAGGTCAGTGGTAAAAATTCTAGGTCAACCAATATCAAATTTTAATGACAATCGAATTTATTGGTGAGTTCAAACTTTTTGGTTGTAGCTTGTATTATGAAAATCTAACTTGCATTAGATAAAATTCTAGATCAACTGATCTCAGTGTTTAATTCTGCATTTGAAATTTTACAATCAAAATACAAAGAGATCACTAGAACAGAGTAAAGTCAGCTAGCATGTCATATTGTGTCTGTTATCCAAATTTCTTTAGCTTCAAAAACAAGAAAGTAAGTCACGAGGTCTTAAATTCTAGGACACCTTATACCAGTGGGGCCATGATTTAAACAATCAAAGAGGAACACAAGACAATTCTTCGAACCAAATGGTCTTGCATTCTGGTTTCTGACTTAAAGAGTTTTTTATATAAAAATCGACATCTAGGGAGGGCCATTTTTATGCTTCCCGAAAAATTATGGGGGAGCATATAGTCGCCGGGCGTGTGTCCAAAACCTAGTCGGGGAGCATCACCTGGTTCAACCGGCTCTTGTTTTAATCCAGACTCATGATCATTATTTGATGCCTGCAAACTTAGCACTTTACGGAGAGTGTCGGATGTGAAGTCCATGCGTCTCTTGTTCCACAGACAACAATTGATCTCGGACATTGAGTTTTACGGTCATTTGTCTGTCAAAAAAGTTAGTACCTAGCTTAGTAGAAATTGGTCATTACTCTTCTGGTTATTTATCCATGAAAGTCAGATAGTTTAACCAACCTTCAAGCTATCAACAAAGAAGTGTTGAAATTGGCGTATAACCCAGACCCGACCCTTTCATGATTTGAAGAAACATGGTAAAAGTCGTCTAGAAGTTGTTTCACATGCTCTAAACAATGGGGTTAAAGGAATGATTTTATAAAGGATTTTATATACATGTATAAGTTAGACTATGTAAATCAATTGAACATTGGGAAAGGAAAGGAAATTTCCGGCATGGGTAAAACTAACGAAAACGCCAGTCTGATATGCAAGAAATAATTAGCTATAAGGAAGTTATGTTTTTTAGCTTTTCCTATATGTAAATTGAAGTGACTCCTGGCATAAATGAATTTGACCACAAGGTCGTGATTTAAGCAAATTTAATAGTATTCTATAATAGGTTTTCAGTTATGGAGAAGAATATTTTCATGTTTTTCCTATATTTACACTGTGTAAAGAAAGTTTACTCCGGGGCTTCGCAAGAAACATGAATGTGTATTTCTTGACCATTTACCAACCATGACCTTGATGTTGTGTCATGCATATCATAAGCACATAGTCTCACGATGGCGATTATTTGCGCCAAGTTATTTAAAATCTTCCATAAAGTCAAAAAGTTATGGAGAACATATAACCTTGACCTTGGTCGCAGCGACCTGGATGTTGAGGTCTGTAGATTGTGTCGTGGTGGGGATCATTTTTTTAAAACCTTTGAATTGTCAATAAGTTATAGAGCGGACATGAAAAAAAAAAAGTTTTTACACTGGACCACTGAGTGTGACCCTGACCTTCAGGGTTGTGACTTGATTATTGTGCTCTGCCAATGGTGTCATGATGTTGATCATTTCTGCCAAATTATCTCAAAAACATTTCAGAGGTTTAAAAAGTAGAGACAGACGCGAAATGTAGTCTTTCAAACATATAAACTGTAAATGTGACCCTGACCTTTGGGGTAGCAATTCAATTATTGCGATCTGCACATCGTCTCATAATGGTGATCAATTGTACCAAGCTATTTAAACAAAATTTCATAGGTTTAAAAGTTATGGAGGGGACACGAAATGTAGATTTCTTTACATTTGACCTTGACCTTTGGTGTAACAACCCAATGTTTGCGTTCTGCACATGTTCTTATACTGGTTATCAATTGTGCCAAGTTATTTTTTTTTAAAAATTTGCCAAGATTTTTATTTTTTAATTTCAGCGGTTAAAATGTTGGAGCAGACACCAAATGTAGACTTTTTAACATTTGACCTTAAAGTGTGACCTTGACCTTTTGTGTAGCAACCTAATTATTGCGCACTGCACGTCGTGTCATAATGGTGATCCGTTGTGCCAAGTTATTTCAAAACTTTAAAGCGTTAAAACAGTTATGGAGCGGACACGAAATGTAAACTATTTATTATTAAATGAAGACTTTTAACATTTGACCTTAAAGTGTGACCTTGACTTTGTAGGTAGCAACCCAATTATTGCGCTCTGCATATTGTCTCATTATGGTGATCATTTATGCCAAGTAATTTAAAAAAAATTCGGGGTTCAAAAGTTATGGAGCGGACACGAAAATGTTACGGACGGACGGACTGACAGACGGAGTCCATTCCTATAATCCCCTTTCCACTACGCGGAAGGCGATTAACAATGTTGGTTTAGTCCCGTCTGAAAAAGCCATACATATAAAAGCTCAAGATCTTTTTATTTATTTCTGGGAATATTTGAAAACATTACGCATTGTCAGTTCTATTTTTAACTTCTGTGACTCAGATATACAATAATCCGATTTGTGCAAAAAAACAACAACAAAACAAAATTTCTGTCAAATTTTATCAAATATAGCCTATTTTTACGTCACATCAACACTTTAAAAGGCTTTGTGGCGACTTTCCTGCTTTACTGAGGAAGACCTTAATATGTTACCCTCCGTGCATCATTTCATAATATTGACACCTTCTGGTCATCTTTTAAGGCAAATCAGAGTTACAAAGTCTATAAAAAGTGAAATTTGGCTTATTCAAATAAAGAAAGCAGTAAAATTGTTTGTAAAATAAAGATATCAAAGTCATACGTTCATCTTGATTCCAAATTCAAATACGTCCTGAAATTAATCTTAATTTGAAACACACTATAGTGTTCATGTGCATTACATGCTACCGGACAATTTGAGAAATGCTGTTTTTCCTCATCTCCAATTACATTGAAACTATGGTTTTAAGACTGCACTTTTATAATGACTTATTTAAAACAGAAAGCTTATATGAATTTTGGATACGTTCAGTCGCGGGTTATTTCACATGATTTATTGATATTTATTGATGATGAGAAAATTACGAAACTGTAACAGTGCTATCTTTATGAGATATTGCATGTTCAGGGCTAATTTTTTCAGTTGTTTGACATCTAAAATGCTCTAAATTCATTATTTAAGACGACATTATTTATTACATGATTGACCTTTCTAAAGAATTAAGATATTTTTAATTTCTGAGACATAATGGGCCTTTAAAGCTTAGATTGTTTTATAAGTTTGTAAAATGGTCAGCATATTGTCAACATAGTGCATTAAAAGGTTAAGTAATGGGAGTTTACCAGTTATTGCATTAAGGTGAAGATATATTGTCATTTCCATTCATATAAGAGAACAAATGTGACGGAACTAATCGAATTTATAAAAATCAATGATGCATGGAGGCCCACCAAGCATAAATATGTAGACTTCCTCTTATTAATAGGTACACTTCCTTTTAAACACCAAAACGGTCATTAAAAATTAAAAGCATGAATGTCCTTCAGATAATTTACTTTTTTCAGGAACCTTTGTAGTAGGCATTGCATGCTCAAAAATGAAATTCACAGACTTTGATGTGATAAAGTCCAGAACTTTAAACTAAATTGATAACATTGATCAAAATTTACATTTTTTCTTTTTTGTTGTTCATATAAAGGATTTTACACTCTTTTCATGATGAAAATATAGAATATTTTTGTTCTTTTGTCTCAATTTTCAATCTAGTCTTCAGTGCTGAAGTCACTGTTGCCATTTTCTGTGCCCAGAATGTAATACAGATATGCATATATATTTGAATCTTTTATTATCTGTATCATTTAATAGAAATAGTGTGTTTAATTATTTTATTATATACATGTTTCATTTACAATTATGATGACACAGTATTGTACAACATTTCATATTGCTATATATATATATATATGTGATATGCTAAAACCGAAAGCATTCCATTTCATCTGTGTTTTAAATTGGGTCTTTTTGTTCAGAACTTCGTTATTTCTTGCTGTTAGGATCTCTAAGTATGATAATGCATATTAATGTGTTATAGTACATTTGTCCGTTGCCAAGTGGTCATGGTCTTTGACTTTGATTCACTTGCCGCTCACAGTTCTGGATTATTTAATGTGAAAAAAATGTCCAGCTAGCTTACGGAACATTAAAATGCATGGAAGGGCACTTGAGGTCTGACCCTCACCAGTAAAGCTGGAAAGTGGCCAAATAAATTATAAGAATAATTACTACACGGTCATAGCTGGATGAACTTGATAGAAATATTAATTGTGACAAAATTGTATGGACATTTTCAATTGTACACACACACATTATATATATATACATTTATGTAGTAGTTTACTTTATTCTATATGCTAGAGTTCTGGCATACACCCTGTAAAACCCTTTACTATTTATTGATTTTTTTTTATAATGTGAGTCATTCTACACATGTCTGAAGGAGGATGAAATCATGGTGCAACAAAAAGGTACCTTAACTTATTGTAAATTAAGTATTTATGATGTTTGTGCTCTAATATATATGTATTTCTTTTTATTGTAACATGATTTATGTATACATTTTTTTTTAAATTTTTATTTTCAAGTCCGTCCATTGAATACATGATGTGCTTTATTTATTGTTCTCTTATACAACAACTATGTTACAACCATACATATCATATACACAACATATATATACCTTTATGTGTCTAAATCTCTGGGCAATTTTTTTTGCCGGAAAAAAATATTAGTAACTATAGAAACGTTTTATTGTTACTATTTATAGAACCCTAAGATTGTTACTATTTATAGAAAATTGTGCTGAGGTTGTGCTATGTGTTCTGTGCCTTAATGGTTTCAAGTTTGTTATAATTTCTGATTTTTGTAATCATTTTAACTTTCGATCAAGAATAGTCATGGGTAAGACAATTTATATTAGTGATTATAGGTACATTGTTTGGTTAAATGAAGGTTTAAAAATGCTATACTGTTTTTGTTGGCCCTTTTGTTATGTAATAATGACTTTAGTTTGGTGATACTTCATATTTAAATCTTACTCAGAATCATATTTAAATCTTACTCAGAATCTGAGTCTCAGATAATCATTGACATAGATTTCCGAGTTAAATTGAGGGAACAGTTATCTGGACAATTAAATAGGGTTATTAGGGTTATAGGTCAAGGTCACAGGTGAAAATTATGAATCCATGTCTTGAAATCTAGTGTTTTAAAGTTAAATTATATGTATGACTATTTAGAAGGATTCACTTTGATCAGGTTTGCATAGGTGACAATTTGGGGCAAATATAAAACGAAAATGGTTTTGATATATTATTTTTGTTATCATATACCGTTATATAATATTAAATACAAAATGTCTGTGGATGTTTTCTCCTAACATGGTTTAATTTTCCTTTTGTAGATATTCTTACATTATTTATTTCTCTCATCTGCCATTTTATATGTTTTTTGCGTATCATTGATTTACTGTGTACAATTAATCATTACAACACATTTCTGATTGAGAGTTTTTTTTATATTCATACTATGATTTCTAGAAATTCTAAGCTTAGTTTGTTAATGTATGAATAAAATGATATATTTTGAATCTGGATTTGAGTTTTTTTTCTTTTTTCCAGAACATGTAGACTGTAAAATTTAAGTACCAGAGATTAATATTGAGAATTTTTAAATTTCCATACAGAGTTGAAAAGGTATGTGTCTTGTTTATAGAATATGTCCAATCAAAAAATGGTTTATACTTAAAAATGAAACCTGCGAAGTTTGGGATGAATTTTGCCATGGCAACCCACATACAGCCTGCACTGATTAGATTTAACTATAGCTTGAAACCAAACTTTGACACAACAATCATTAGGACAATACCTTCAAGTAGGGTTATTCAATTGGATCAACTTGGTTATGACCTTCACTCATCAATGACCTTGATGATCAATTATTGAATTTTGCTTGATTTTTGCTATCTTTGGCTATAACTGTCTCATTTAGGAATTGATCGTGTTCATATTTAAACACAGCTACATTAAGGACAATGCATTAAAAATCATACTCAATTTGACCTTGACTCATAAATGACTGACCTTGAAGGTCAAATTATTGTTATTCACAGTTTTTTGCTATAATTGGCTATAACTTTGTTAGTAAGGAACGTTTGTGTTTATCTTGGACACAACAATCCATCGGACAAGACATTAATTATTGGTCGCAAAAGAGGATGACCCCATATTGTCGCGAAAGTTGTTTCCCAAAAGTTTACAAGTTTAGACTCAGTAGCGTGTGTGTGACTTGGTGTAAATGGCCATGTAAAGACGAACATCATTGTCGCGTTATCAATCGCTCTCGGGACGTTTTGAATAAGGCTTTTGAAGCACTTTTCCAAGCTAAAATTACTGAAATAATTGAGTTTGAAACAACACATCATTGTTTTCCCAACAGAAAATAAAAGCTTAAGGCCGACTAAGGTAAGACCTATCCCGATAAACCATCTTGCATTTAGGTTAGGTGTCATCTCAAATCATTGCTGAATCAAACTATATGTCACAGGGTGAGAAAAATGTACAGCCTGACCGGGACTAGAACCCGGGACCTTCGGAATACCGTTCCGCAGCTCCACGACTGAGCTATCCGGCAACCTACAGTCCTACCACATCCTTTCCTCTGAATAGTGAACAGTTCTGAACCGTGGCATATGTAAAACTATTTTATACTTTTCATAATACGGTAAGTTGCATTATTAAAATAATCAATACAATGTATTTATATAGCTATTTAAATGTGGACGAAATGAAGTGAACTGTAAGAAATTAGATAATTATACTCAGCTAACGGAAAACAAATGATATGTCTGAACGTACCTTTGACAAGGTAACCTAGGTAATCTAGGTTTCATTTAAAAACACCATTAAGATATTCGACATAAAATATGTTCTTCATAAAAATGGAAGAAAACACAAAGAAGCATATTCATCATGTACAAATTTATTTTTTCACATAAAAAGACGACTTTTACAAGAGTAAACAAAATGATATGCATCAATATAGATTATACAATGTTTAAAAAGTTTAAATTGTGTTTGATTTTGCCTAATTTGGTCAATATGCATATCTGACGCAATCAAATTTATTCTCCTTTAAATGTTATCTTTTTTTAACATCTTCTAATATAACATTTACATGTTTTACCTATGTGTTTATTTGTTAAACACGGAAACATATCTGAAAAGCTACGTTATCAATATCATATATTCATTCTAAAGAAGTGGCAGTAAGTACAATTTTTTCATAACTGTAGAACTTTAAATATATTGTAATACACTGTACAAGCAAATATCAGAATTGTGGTAAAACAACGGTACACATCGTTGTCATGTTACATGAGCAAAACGTCGTTAAACAATATTAACAGCATACGATTGATAATAAATAAAAAGATAATGAGAGAAAAAAACATCCCAAAAAACGATTTCATTGATTGTTCAAGGGACTAAGGTCAATTTAGAATGTATACAAATGATAATTTCATTAAATACTGTCTACTTGTTTGTTACTTTGACGAAAATAGTTTTGTATCATCACATATTCAATTAATTCGGACAAATAAAAAACTTAAAAAAAAATATTTGATGAAAAATATTCAATATCAATTTAATTTCAATGTATCTTCACGCCCTAAATTTGAACAACTTTTAAAACGCAAAATAATCTTAGACATTATCAAACTTATGTTGAAGCACCACGCTATTTGTTTGCCTTTTTAAGAGCAATTTTACTGTCCCTATTTAAATATCGAATTATCTTTCTAGAAAAAAATTGTAACAACAAAATATTTGAAAAAATGTGCATGTATAAGTTATATAGAAATTACTATAAATCATGCGAATAATAATTTCAGCAATATTTCTATAACACTTGAAAGACATTGGTATATATGTACAACAGATATACTATGCTCAAATCTGATATTTAAAAATATTAATTATTGCTACACAGTCTCTTTGTAAATATACTAGTAAAATAAATTTGTTTTGACATCACACAAAGTAGGCATGTTCTGTTTAAAATGTTTTAAATTTTGCATAATATAGTCGGTCACAATATGAATATACAGTGTCATTAAAAGTACTGGCAGTGTTTTTTTTTTAGAAAAGACCAACTTGCTTGACCTGTTGTAGGGAACTCAGTTTCCAATACATAGTTTATTCATTCTTTTATTTAAATATAAACCATTTTGCTTTTTATATCTTGTTACAGCTTCCAAAAATACTCAATTGCCATATAGATGTACATGTACTACCTTTTGCTTCTAATGCTTTGTAATTGGCATCTCAGTGAATCAGTATTATATATGGAAGTGAAAATACTACTTTATTTACAATTTTCATCTCTTACAACACATTCCTGAATGTTCAGTTCTATTCTCATCAGTTATAAAACATCTAACATTCTCTAAATCCGCTATTTAACATTTAAAACACATGTTTGACAGTTCTTAATAATAAAACAATATGGATTTTCTGAGGCATAATGTGCCTTATACATATATCAAAGCCGGACAGTTCGGCCTACCAGGTCTTGGTTTCAACTGTCCAGGCAAAGTTTTCTTTTTATATAATGGTCATCATCGGAACAAACATTTCAACAAAATATTTAAATAATAAGATGAGACTTATAACTACAAAATACTGTAACAATTGTAACAATAGCCTTGATAATTTTAAGGCAATAATTTACTGATGAACATTTTTGGTATTCTTTTGGGTTCTTTTGTCAAATTACTAGCTGAGCTCCGAACCATCTCACAGAAGTTTGTAACATTTCAATCTTAAGGTTGGAATGCTGTGATATTATTTAGAACTGGAATGTATTTAAGTAAAGATATGTTTGTTCACTATGACCACTGCACCTTCTGTCATTAAGCACCAACCAATTATTCAACCAAGTTAAGTTATAGATGAAAGTATGGTTTTTATTAAAGTTTACTGGCACTTAACATAGCACATAAAATACTGGTAAAAATCTCAAAATCTAACAAGACTCTTTCATCCTCCAAAAATGGCAAGAATTGATAAATAAAATACTGGTTACATATAAATAAAATCGATAAATTCCGAATATCAGTGGCTATTTTCATGTTTGATAAAATTGTTGCCAAATCCTTCACTGAGCACCCATAATACAATTTATTGCACAATTTCTTATCATGTATCGCAATGCTCCTTACTTTACAGAAAAAAAGTTGCTTTGAGCCTTATGTCGCCTATGGATATGCCAAACCAGTGTTGATATGACTAAGCTGAGTTTCCATCGGCCGCTGTGTTAACTAGACTTCAGTCAGACCATTGACTCCACTTTACTAGACGCATTCCATAACTAACAGCAAAAGTTCTAGCTGTCAGTCTGTTGCCTACAATATGAATGTAATAAAAAAAAACACGATAAACTTACGCTTACTTCAAAAATTAAAACTTGTCTCGACCTTCATTATTACTTTTAATTCTTCACTGTTTTAATTCAGTGATGGTTATTCCAGATTATATTTCGGGAAGTTATTACTATTTAAATTTAGCTTAACCAAGTACATTGTATAAGATACGAGGAATTTCACCACTATAAAAGTTAAGATTTTAACTTTTTCATTTTTAGAATTAGAACCTTACCTGATGGCACGACTTCATCCTTTGGTTTATTAAGAACAACAATTCTGTCATATATTCTATAGCGAGATCTAATATATACCGGTATATCTTCTGTTTTGCATAGAACAGCAATACCTGTAAAGAAAAGTTGTATAATAGTTTGTGACCTTTCTGTTGAAAAGTTTACGTTATTGGTATATACCTATATATTAAATTTGAACACTTAACTCGAAAAAATATTTCCAGTCTCGTCATTTAAAAACAACTAAGTGGAGTCTCTTCAACATGTTGAACATGATATTTGAGCGCGTCATGACAAAACCAACATAGTGCGTTTGCGACCAGCATGGATCCAGAACAGCCTGCGCATCCGCGCAGTCTGATCAGGATCCATGCAGTTCGCTACAGTTTCTCTACTTGTAATAGGGTTGGTAAGCAAACAGCATGATCCTGATCAGACTGCGCGGATGTGCAGGCTGGTCTGGATCCATGCTGGTCGCAAACACATTATGCTGGTTTTGTCGTGACGCGGCTCATTTTATCCCTTTGCAGTGCTATGATGACTTTTAGCGCAATGTAACCTACATATAAGGCAAAGGCCTTTTAATCATTCTCCAGTTATCGATCGGACTCAATAATTATCAATTGTTTATTACGAAAGCCTTAAAGTATCAAAGGAAATAAAATAAAATATTGGAAAGACGTTATAATGCGAATCAAAAGGCGTAATTACGCGACATAAAATGAATAATAACGCGAATAAAGGCGTTCTAACGCAAACCAAACGGCGTAATAACGCGAATTAAGTCGTTATTATGAGAATTAAAAGGCGCAATAACCCATAACAAACGCGTTATAACTCGAACCACTATTTTGTTACTGTGAAAATCACCATTTTCTTACATTATGTGTAATACTACGTTCATTTTCGCTTTATACGACCGATGGAAAAAGCAAGGATCATTTGGTCTTGCCCTAGATTTTAGTAAACAAAAGGTTAGAGCTTAGTGAACATAGGGGCAGAGCTTCGATGTCCTTTACCTTTGACAAACTGACCTTAGAGACAGAAAGGGTCATCTACCATTTATTTAAACCTCCACAACAAAGCTGAGAAACATAATCAGAAGCATTCTCTTTCTATTGGTCGAAAAAGCTTTAAACAATCAATGCTTTATTGACCGTGACATTTGGCAAACTGACGTCATAATCAATAGGGATAATGCCGAACCACCATGCCAGCGTTCTCTAATAATTGGTCAGACAAGTTTTCATGGTCTGCCGACCGGCAACCGCCACTATATGCATTATATGCAAAGCAATATACCCGAATAGGCATTTAGATGAGAAAAATTACTGCTAACATACAATTACGAGAATAATTACAATATGTTTAGAAAAAGTATGAACAGAAAATTAATCCTACCTGGACGCAAAAAACTGTTCCCACGCGCGTTTCTCGCTGGATATCCTGTAAAATAAATGTAGAATTAAACTCGATGGCATGAAAAATAGTTTTTCATATTATTTCAGCTTGTTTATACGATGAGACGTCATTGCGCTTTGATTATATCCCACTCTAACAGCCACAAATGAGCTGAGAAACATATCCAGTACCACGCTGCCTGCATTACTAGAGCAATTTTAATTTGATTTTTTAATCATATCTCACTATGCAATTAGTTTCAAATGAACTATGCAAGTAATTTAAAATGAATCAGAAATAGTTTTCATAATGATGAGACTAGTTTTCTGAATGAAGGCTAAAAATGAAATAGGTATAATCGATAATTAAAATGTTTTGATACTAGTATTTAGAAACAAATAATTACCTGGCAAATCTGGCTGTGGTAATTCTCCAACTACATTTCCTGTAATATATGAAATAAAATGCTCATTTTTAAACATATTTACATTAAGAAATAAAATATATAATTATTTGCACTGAACGTTTCCAGAGCTAGAATAAGATTATGTATAATCTACTCTCAAAAAGTTTATTAAATAATTGTAATATCTCTATGACGTCAAAAAAGTATGCAAACAATTTATAATTTTGCTTCCGTAACATCTAAATTATACCGTCAACGAAAACAAGATAGCGTTTCGTTGACACACTTTAAAAACAATCTGATTGTGTTCTGTTTTATCAAATATTTGTTGTATAAATGTATCATGCAAAGTGAATGTTGCCGTTCAGGAATTCTGATAAAATATAATATTTACAATGCTTTGACAAAAGTGAAATAAATTTATTAGTGGCGAATTAATAAAAGACTATGGCACGAAAGTATGTAAATATAACTTATATAAAGCAGCATTCTTAGCTGGTAAAAAGCGTTCTTTTTCATTATATTTCTTTCCCTTATTGACATTTTATTGACAAAGTATCTCTTGATGATGATACATTAATTGAAATGAAATAAAACTTAAATATATGCCACAAAAATGATAAAAAAATGATACATGAGCCAAATATAGTTTCTACAACAACTGATACGTAAAACAAATTTTATAAAAGATTATTAAAAACACAACAGCCATCATAATATAATCCGTCTAACCCATTTTGCAAGTCCTCATATCTGCCCACAAAATAAAAATGAATGAAAACCGACAACAACAACAACAAAAAAACCAAGTATATATCAATAATTGTAATGCGTAAATGCGCTCTTAAGTTTCCATTAATAGAATAAGTATACGTTAACAGTATGTATATTACGTAAACCTCTCGGAAATGGTAGTTGTTTTCTATTTTTATAGTGTTTAAAGAAATGGTAGCCAATATGATTATATCTTGTCTCAATGCATGTATATACAATCGCTTTAAGTGTGGCAAGAATCATAAATTAAACTGATGTGAACCAAGAGTAAAATGTTTTATTTGTCTCTTATTTTGCCATTTATAAATTAGATCTAATTTCACCTATAAGAGATCAAGCATTTCCAAACCGAGACAATATCTTATACAAGGATATTTGAGAACATTATCAGTCACTTGAAACCTAAAAATTATTAGTCGCCGGTAGAAACCGGCGACTATATTTGTAACAGTTTTATATTATACCTATGGTAGGAGAAGGCATTAATTTCTGTAAATAAAAGCATAACAATTACTGAATAATTAAAGACTAGAATTGTTTTCAGTAATCTCAAAAATTCAAACATACAATAATGTTACTCAATGAAATGAAATATTCAAATATTGACATCGTAAAAAGCAACATTACAATTTTTATAAAATGAATTAATGACGTATCTTTATGGACCAGTCATTGAATTTAGGGATGCTTTTACTTTTTTTAAAGTGTCAAGCGTTGCTATTTTATGATAAATAAATCATGCATGATATTTGAAATGACACTTTTAAATTATCTGGTTGTTTGTATCTTATGAGACCTATTCTATTTTTTTTATCTTATTTATTATAAACAGTTTCTCCCAGAATCACGTGACTACACGTTGTATGTTATTGTTATAAAATCTATTAATAGTTACAAATGGCTGATAAGGCTGACATACAGGTAAGCAGCTGATAAAGTGCAAATCAAAGTAGTTTTGTATGAAAAATCTCGGTATGACAGTAGGGGCCGGAATCGTATTGAGTACACAGAGTAAACTAATAAACTATCTTTGTTTTGATAGTTTATTGCACTGAAAGGCAATTAAACGTTAACTCTATCGTATGTAACGAAAGGAATATTGATTTCAGCTAAATAACATATTTTTTCGATAGTGCATAAGAATAGTTTTTTTTATGCAGACACCACTTTTACAGTAGAATTGCATTGTTTTATGCAATAATTAAGCATATATATTTTCATAGTCACTTTGCAAATATTCGATGATCGGTAATAATTTGTCGGTAATTATCGTATGCTGACGAAAACCATACATACAACGGTATATGTATAAAGTAGAATTACAAGTAGAATTATAATCATATCACTTGCTTTACAAGCCTCGATGACAAGTTGTTAGATTTTAAGTTAGTTTCAAATTGAAGACTGTAGGATAAAGTGATTTTTTAATGTTTTCTTTTATAATACTTTTTGTATTTTGCAAAGCTTGACCGTTTATCAAAATTATGAAATAAAAAAGTGCTAGAAATGAAACACAGGATTTATCAACTTTTGTTTCATAAAGTTAAAAGATATAATAAAAATCAATTTATGAAAATTACAAACAGGATTTGTCCGAGATTCGAACTTGCGCCTACTACATGTAGGTTACAACTTCGTCATACTTACCACTAGGCCATCGAGCAGTATTAATTGATATAATTATACATGTAATTATACTTACAATAAAATCGTTAACATTAATCATAATAAGTTATGTAAGCAAACGAAACAGCTCCCGAAAATTATTGAGTCTCGGGTAAATATTGCCAAACAATACTTGCTTATTTAATAATGATAACAGTTTCTTGACAAAATTGCTAAGCAAGTTTGCTCCAAATATGATGTTTTATCATAACATAACATAAATTTATTGCATAAAACTCTCAGCAAGAAAGATATAATTGTGGGAAGTAAATGAAAACGTGTTTAAGAATAAACATTACTCAACTTATTGTTCCTCTTTTCTTTATACTCGAACCATTAAACTGATATTTTCTTTTATTTATAATAATACAATCATATTTCTATCCGGCGACTTGATGCTTTAGCATCAAAATCTCTACTTGTCACTACTTAACTACTTTACGCCTGAGATGAAGGATCCGTTCACGGTGTTTAAATGCCTATGTAAACGGGTTTGAAATCACGTGACTGAACTCCTTATATTATTATAAATGGTGTATAAATGTTCTAACAATAAGTTTTATTGTCAAATTTATCTCAATAACAGAGCCTGGGTACATGACATCTATGTGGATATAAATAGCTTATATCTAGATAAAATGAATAGAGATTTGATGATGTTACACCAAAACTGCATTTATAATCGCTTGAAAAACATTGCAACACTTGCATGTCAACTTCTAATCGCTAGTCTCCTGTTTTTAAAAGGAAATGAACCGAGACTATTACATATACCATGAATACTTTTTATTAAGAAACAAGAAAGAAATATTTCGGATGCACTTAGTTTCAAATGTCAAGAAGAGTCAACTATCTAAAAGGTGATGCAAACAGCTTGGTGAATTATCTCCGAAATGGTCATAATTTTAAATTGTTAGAAATATAACAACAAATGTAATTACAATATTGAGATATTACCACCTAGAATAATCAACTGAATAAAACGTTTAGTTGAATATTTATTATTGTCTTTAAATTCCACAGTCTGTAAAATAATAATAGAATTAATGAGATAATAACACTGAAGGGTGCATGATTAAGTATTTTTAAAACGACAACATGGAGCAAAACATATTGCAGCTAATAACTATCAATTTACAAATCAATCATGCATCAAATTATTTTAACAATAGTGAACCACCAAAAAGTTATAACTAATGTAAAACAAATGATGACTTAAAGCAATCAAAAACAACGATAACAATTCTGAAGGAATATGTTACCCATCTCCGAAGATCTGATTATGTGAATGAACATTAAAAGCAGTTCATCAGAATAAACCACTACATGCATCATTTTATTGGTAGGTTTTTGTGGTTTTTGTGGGGGTTTTCTTAACAAGGTATTGTGGTTTTTGTGGGGGTTTTCTTAAGAAGGTAATTATTTAGAACATCTACTTTTTATCAATCGTTTCTAAATGGGACGGTCTCCGATGAGAATACAACGCAAAATTATTATAATTAAATATTGGTTAAAAATTTTGACACTCATGGGTTGTAACCTTTTGTGAATAAAGATTATACATATAAACAAACTTGGTATTCAGAAATAAATAATTCAAGTAAATTACAAACATACAGTATGTATAAGTACGACCTTTTTGAGATATTCTTAAATTGTGTAAATATAAATAAATACAGAATACAACTGACGCTATTTCGGTTATCATCACATAATGTAGAAATTGAACTTGGTAGGCACAACTGAGAAAATATACCATGTCAGCAATGTAAAATGCATGTCATCGAAAATGAATTCAATTTTTTACTCGTTTGTACAAAATATTATAACTTTCGTAAGAAATTTTTAAAACCATATTTTGCCGTTGGCCTTAACTTCTAAACTTAATAACTTCTCTGAAAACATTTTGTTCTGTATTATGAACAATTTAGTGTAAAAATGTCTTACACTTTACCAATATTATGTAATAATAGCTATATGCTATCTGTAGTTTAATGCCAAATAAAATATTGAATTGAATTGAATTGAAATGAGGCTTTTAAAGGTTTCGTGATTATTATCGTACAAACACAGATGTTATAAAAATTCAAGATTTTAGCAGTTTTGTGTTCTATGCTAAATTCTGCTTAAAGCAGATGTTGACTGGGGAGGGCGGGCGTGTATACAAGCTTTCAATTACCACTGTCGTTCATGAACAGGCTAAATCAAACAAAACATGCAACATTTTCAATTTTATCGTGCTAGACTTTCTTAAAGGAGTCTGTTTTTCTCTATTTCAAGTCGTTGGTGTAACGCTAGATTTTATCATATTTCAAAACTAAACTTTGCGATAAGCACATATAATAAACTCTGGCATAAAAATAAAATAAAAACTGGTATATAATATGATACCAGGTTGATGTAAAACGGGAATTTTCTTTTTTTACTTTGCTAGTTCTTACAAAATATTCAGAGTAAGTTCCAAATAAAAAAAAATCCCGATTAAAACGGTCGACTTTGTTTAATTAAGAAGTACCTCTAAAGAAAAACTCGGCCGGAGTAAAACTGTTTAACTTTCATATGTTAGTTAGTTAGTTAGATTCCCAGATTTCATTTGACCAATGAAAACTTTTCTTATATTCAGTTTTTCACTGTAAATTTTACAGGAAGACAAACTGAAAACAGACCGGCCTCAGTCGGAAAAATGGTCCTTAAAAATAGTATTCTGTTGTTGCCTTAAATACATGTGTATTTTTAATTTTGAGTTACATATTTCGAATCAAATGTAAGAAGCAGATTCTATGGAAAAAAAAAACAAAAAAAAAAAACAAAAACGATTTATGTCATCAATAAGGAACAAAATGTTTGAGCGGCTCAATTAAAAACTGATAAAATTATTTAGTAAACATATACAACATAAAGAAATTATCTACGAGCTCTGATGCAAAATGCTTGCAAATTATATAAAGGATATTTATTTGTTTGTGTGTAAGATGAAATTTCTTCTTTAAAACAGTATTTCGCCAATCGTGAGAATACGTAGTAGATATAAGCCGAAAACTGTCCAATATGTAAAATATTGAATTTCTTGTCATACCACAGGAGTCTGGAATCGTTTCCTATGATACAACAAAACACTCGGTAATCTGATTTATACTTCTTGTAGATAGTATATTATAGTAACTCATTCAATGTGTGTTTCAAGTGAATGAATGGAATTCTTAACTTAAGAACAACATGAAGATCCGTCAAGAGCAATCGGAACTCGGCTATTATTCATAATAACCCGAAGACTGACGGAAAGGGCCGTAAAGATGCGATTGGCATCAATAGGTGAAACATACTTCCGTGTTTTAATGTTAATCAATACCAAATCTTATTTCTGGAACTATCCACTTGTTCTTGACATTAAGTAGGGCTCGAACCCACGAAACATTAGTTTCACGGCAGGCTCCTAAACCAAGAGGTATATTGACCGAATTTATACTCAGTTAGAAACACTACTAATCTTTTCCCACGGTTTCAATAAACAGTAAAGATAAGTTGGTAAGGAAATAGGAAATTAACAAAAGAATAACTGTTCAAAGATTTATTTTTTCAAAAAGTAACCCGCAGTATAAAACACAACAATGGATTTCATATATAACTGGTCATAGAGTATTGTAATGAACGATCAATAGCCGCTTTTGTTTTAAATAGATGAATTTATTTTCTCTATTATATTTATTTGAAAAGCTGACCATAACACTTACTTGAAAAAACATAACGTACATACAATAAAGCAAATCAAGTATGATTGTCATGTAAACGTATGTTTAAAAAAGAAAAAAAAACGGACAAAAGACAAGAAATTAAACAATCCCATAAAAATCATATCCGCTATCTTTCACTT